GTGGGGGTCGGTCTCTTCTCCCAAGTCCCAGGCGACAGGACAAGAGGAAATGGCCTCAAGTTGCGCCAGGGGAGGTTCAGGCTGGATATTAGGAAAAATTTTTTCACTGAAAGGGTTCTCAGCCATTGGAATGGGCTGCCCAGGGAGGGGGTTGAGGCACCATCCCTGGAGGTGTTCAAAAGCCGGGTTGATGTAGTGCTGGGAGGTCTGGTTTAGTGATGGTGATGCTCCTTGTTTGTTGTGTGGGTGTCTATTTTTGTCAAAGTTAGGTTGACGGTTGGACAAGATGATCTTTAAGGTCCCTTCCAACCTAGAAGATTCTGTGATTCTGTGTGTATCTGCGTCCTGACAGAAAGGGCCCGTGGAAGTGCCTGGCACCGTGTCCTCAAGCAGGGAGGGGTCTGGAGGTCAACTGTTCTTTGAGTAGACACACAATTACAGTTCCATTTTTGCTGAGCACTGATGTTGTGAGTTGCTGGGCAAAGGTCTGTCACAGCAGAAGGAGGCCTGTCCACAAGCCCTTAAGAAATCAACTTGGTAACCCTGAGGACAAGCTCTCCATAGATCAACAGCTCCTAGAAGATACTGAATGCTTTTCAATTTAGAAACAACTTAATGTCTTGAAATCTCCTTTCTTCACTTATTTATGACTGCAAATATTAGGTGAACAGTGGATCGCCTCTGCCTTTGGTCTGGTAGCTCCACTTTTTCCCCAGAAGCACGATCTCTGTGACTTGTCATCACGCTCCCTTTGATGTCAAAACATTTTCTACTCTGCTGCAGGGCAGCAGCCTCCTGTTTTGAGAAGGAAAAGAAAAATGTGTTTTGCCACAGGATTGCGTTGGATTTGTCCATCTCTTCTGGATGGATATTTGAGTGCGTGATCTGAAAAAAAAAAAAATTCAATATATTTTTGCTAGCTGTATTTTCCATAATGCATTTCCATCTGGGATGCTTAAAATGAAATGTGTGTATCGATGCAAGACCCTGTGGAGCCTGATTTCTGGGAGTCCAAAATACACAAGTTCTGCAGCTTGGGACCGCCCAGGCCAGGGAGCCCTCTTCAGGAAACAAAGGCAGCAGCCCAGCTGCCTCTTATTTTGGCCAAAATGTGTGATTAATCTCAAGACGGGGGGG